TTTTTTAATTTCTTGAAGAGTTTGTCATCTTATTTCTTTTCTCTTCTGCAACTCAGAGACCCTGAATTGGATTACTCATCAACCTTGGGTTATGGGGGCGCCTGGGTGGCTCAGTGGGTTAAGCCTCTGCCTTCAGCTCAGGTCATGATCTCAGGGTCATGGGATCGAGTCCCGCATCGGACTCTCTGCTCGGCAGGGAGACTGCTTCCTCCTCTCTCTCTCTCTCTCTGCTTGCCTCTCTGCCTACTTGTGATCTCTCTCTGTCTAATAAATAAAATCTTAAAAAAAAAAAAAACCTTGGGTTATGAACGCATCCCTCACTGGTGCATGGATTGTCCTTATTCATTCATACATTCATTCACTTATCATTTAATGAACACATGTGAAGCCACCACTCTGTCCAAGACTAAAGCTTTGATAGGAAGACATCTACCTGTGCACTCATTCTCCCATCTTGTCCCCCTGTGTTCCCTCCTTCCCTTTGTACTTCAGGGGAACCACCCCCCTGAGCTTTGCTTTTGAACATTATAAACAAGTTATCAGATTATGTCACTAAGATTTACTCATCTTGTTTATACCTGTGGTTTCTTTCATGTTTTGAAAATGTTTGGTTATAGTTTGTCTTCCCTGCTAGTTAAGTAATACTTAATTTTGATTAAACAACTTTAAGAAACTGATAGGGGCACCTGAGTGGCTAGGTCAGTTAAGTGTCTGCCTTCAGCTGAGGTCATAATCCCAGAGCTTCCTGCTCAGTCGGGAGTCTGCTTCTTCCTTTCCCTCTACCCCTCCCCCTGCTTGTTCTCTCTCTCTTACTCTCCTCTCAAATAAATACATAAAATCTTAAAAAAAGAAAAAAGGAGGCTGCTATAACTTATGATGGTGCAGGTCAGCCTTTACAGTTTAAACTGAAGAGAGATTTGCACGGAGACTAAGAAACTAAAATTCAAATAAAGACTTTAAATTACTATGACAAGTTAATCACTAACGTCTTGGTCATATTAGACCAAAATGATTCAGACTTCATATTTTTAAAATTTTAAATATTTTATTTATCTGACAGCACAAGCAGAGGGAGAAGCAGGCAGAGGGAGACGGAGAAGCAGGCTTCTGGTCGAGTAAGGGAGCCAGATGTGGGGCTCAATCCTAGGACCCCAGGAGCGTGACCTGAACCAAGGGCAGACGCCCAACGACTGAGCCACCCAAGCGCCCCCAGGCTTCATATATTTTGTCTTTATCAGTCATCAGTGAAACATGTCAAACTTACTTAGTTCAGTACAGATAGATAAATTATTATTATTATATGCCTAGATTCCAATTTTAGCAAATCTAAGCCAAGATGTCAGTGATATCCGGAAAGACACTAAAATAAAGCACCATTTTTTCAACTTTCATAGTGATTATGACAGATGGTTAATTTCTCTGTGACCAGAGGTACACGGATGATTCATATGCATAATTTGTGAAAATACTCAGAACAGATTTAGTTAGTTAATTTCAGATCGAAAAGCAAATAAGTAATTTCAGATATACAGAATAGACATATTTTTTAGAACTGCATTAAATATCTTTTTTTTTAAAGATTTTTTATTTATTTATTTGACAGAGAGAGATCACAAGTAGACAGAGAGGCAAGCAGAGAGAGAGAGAGGGAAGCAGGATCCCTGCTGAGCAGAGAGCCCGATGTGGGACTCGATCCCAGGACCCTGAGATCATGACCTGAGCCGAAGGCAGCGGCTTAACCCACTGAGCCACCCAGGTGCCCCTAGAACTGCATTAAGTATCTTAAATATTTTTGTATTTTTATCTGTTTGATTATACTTTACCTTAGTCCACTTTCACCATGCACAGCTTTACTCTTCTATTACCCCAATTCATCCTTTTAAACTATCACCCTGCTCAACATCTGTAGTATTCAATATGAACACAGTTTATCTTCTAACCTCATTTTCTGTCAATCACTCCTCTGAACTCTATACTCTAGAACTGCACTGTCCAATATAATAGTGACCTAGCCACATGTGGCTAGATTTTAAAATTAAATTAAATTAAAAATTCAGGGGGCTCCTGGGTGGCTCAGTGGGTTAAGCCTCTGCCTTTGGTTCAGGTCATGATCTCAGGGTCCTGGGATAGAGCCCCACATCGGGCTCTCTGCTCAGCGGGGAGCCTGCTTCTCCCTCTCTCTCTCTCTCTGCCTACTTGTGGTCTCTCTCTCGCTCTCTGTGTCAAATAAATAAATAAAATCTTAAAAAGAAATTCAGTTTCCTGGTTGTAGTAGCCACTTTTCAAGTGTTAGTCACACTTTTCATCATCTTCATTGTTACTACCTGGTCCTTATTACCATCTCTCCTTGGGATTTTTGTAGTTGTCTTATACTTGGTTACCCTAATTCTATACTTGCATTTCTACATTGTTTTCAACCCAGCAGCTACAATGATTCTTTCATTATATATAGATAGATAGAGAGAGAGAGAGAGAGAGAGAGTGCACTTATGTAGAGCCGAGTATGTAGTTCCAATTCTAGGCACTTTACAAATGTCAACTTATTTATTCCTCATAATGACCCTCAGAGATAGAAACTATTATATCTGTTCAACAGATGAGAAGAAAATAAGGCACAGGAAGACTAAGTAATGTGCCCAAGGTTGCCTGGCTCATGGAACATAAATCATATCGTGTCACTTCTCTGTTTAAAATACTTCAATAATTCCCCCATCTCAGTCATAGTACAAGCCAAAGTCCTTCCAAAGATCAAGGGCCTAAAAGGCTACATGTGATCTGCATTCCTCTTCTACTCCATTTTTCTCCATAACGATTTATTTATTCTCTTGTCTATCTCTTCCCAAACAAATTAAGTTTCACCAGGATAGGCAGGAATTTCTGTTCCCCTCTCCACTACCAATTTTTTCTAAATGCCCAAAACAATGTCTTGCATAGCAGGCACTCTATAATTATTGCACAAATAAATGTATCCCTTCTCATATACAACAGTGGAGACAAATGTTTAAGAAAGGAGGCTAAAAGCAGAGATTTCAGAATTCCTATTTTTCAGAATTGTATAAATTCTATTTATTTATTTATTTTGGGGGTCCGGGGGAGCAGAAAGAGAGGGAGAAATAATGGAGAATCTAGGGCACCTGGGTGACTCAGTCGGTTGACGCTGCCTTCGGCTCAGGTCATGATCCCAGGGTCCAGGGACACCCCCCCGCCCCGCCTCTCTGCCTACTTGTAATCTCTGTTTGTCAAATAAATAAATTAAATCTTAAAAAAAAAAAATGGAGAATCTAAAGCAGGCTCCATGCCCAGTGCAGAGTCCAATACCGGGCTTAATCTCACAACCCTGGGACCATGACCTGAGCCAAAATCAAGAGTCGGTCCCTTAGCCAACTAAGCCACCCAGGCGCCCCTAAATTTAGTTTACTTACGGGTTGTAATCCTTAGGACTTACTAATCTTGTGAGTGTTTATAAAGTCAAACATATTAACAAAGTCATAAATTGTGTAAAATTAAAACTTATAAGCATATATAAAATTCCATTTAATAATGGGTAAATTACTCGAATAAAAAAAGAAAATGAAAAGCATCACTCTTCTGTTATTTATGACAGATTAAAAAAAAAAAACACCTTGAGAGAGAGCACTTAAAAGAGAGTAGGTTTTGGTAAGTTCAGTTGTTTGGATGAAGATGAACTTAAATGGATTGTCTGCTACTCTAAATGCCCAAGAACAAAGCACTGACTTTTGGGTAGTTCTAGCAAATGAGCAACTATGGCCAGTTCCATTCCAAGATGAGAGCTCCCTTGTGTAATATCTGAAAAACAATTCAGTGAGTACATTACCTTTAATATTTTTCAGACCAAGTAAAGGATGTGGAAAAGACCAGTAGATATTCATCACAAATAATAATCGAATACAACCGAATATAATTTTAAACTATGGTAGTGATGTTTCAAAAGCTGAATGCTATTTCGTATTATTCCATTCTTTTTTCAACTTCATCTTCTGATACATGAGTGCCGGAGGTTCATTTGCCCCTTTTTTTTTTTTTTAACATTAAACTGTTCAAACCCACTGCATTGGTTCTTCCTTTGGATAAAAGAAAAAGTTGTTCTGGGTATATTTAAAACATTTTTAAGAAATATTTTAATTTCCATATTCACAAGAGCCATCTAGCTAATTTGCAAATATGCTTCCTTCTGGGTGTCACTCAGAGATCCTTATTCTCTAGGTTTGGGAGTGGAGCCCAGGAACCTACGTTTCAGACCATTCTTTGAGAACTATTCGACTCAAAGCTACTTTCTTATTTTCTATCTTTCAAAATATTAATTTTAGAAATGCAAGGAGGGGAAGGCAAAAACTCCTGTGGCTTTCAGAAGGAACAAGAATGAGTAGCTCACGTCGTGCCATGTTGTAAAACTTTTCCTCAGTTTGCAGATCTTCTATTCCTGGGGAGGAAATTAGTTCATTTTCACCGAATAATTAACCGTCTTTCAAGCAGTTCCGTCCATGCCTCTCAGGATGACCCCCAAAAGTCATGAACTCATCTTCGCGGCGTAACGTAAAGCTCATCTCGTCTTGCCTGCCCTCACAGGGGCCTCTGGGACCGGGTTCTCTTCCCGCCACAGGGGCCCCTCCTCTGCCTGCCCTTTGGGTCCAATCTTCCCAGAGGCGCTCCGCGCGACAAGTCTTGGCGCCAACCGGGTGGCGGCGCTGTCCGCCCCGCGCGCGGCCGCCTCAGGCCCGAGGGAGGCGGAGGCACGGCCGGCGGAGGAAGGGGAGGGAGCGAGGCGCGCGCCCTGCTCTCGCGTGCTCTCGCACCGCTCGCGTGACCGGCTGGTGTGTGCGCGAAGGGCCGGCTCCCGGGGGCACGGACGGCCGGGCGCGCGCCGCTGCGAGGGGCGTCCGGGTCCCGGTCGGCGGACCCGGCCGGCGCGAGGTGCGGTCGGGCGGGCCGCGGGGGTCTCGGGCGGACACGGGCGCACACGCTCCCGGAGGAGCCTTCTCGGAGGCTGCTTTTCCTCGGCCAGACGGAGAGCGGCAGTGTCTCCCCGCCCAGCACACGCTCGCCCCGCGTCTCCCCCCGCGGCGGCTGCTCCTCCTCGGCACCGCCAGCCCCAGCGCCGCTCCGGGGCGGGCGGCGGCGGCGGCGGCGGCGGCGGCGGGACCCGCGGAGCCGCTTTGTGTGCAGCCCGACGAGGGGCGGCGGCGCAACCACCTGACAGAGGCCCGGGAGCTCGATGCACCTTCCGCCCGCATGAGGAGGAGGAGGTAAAGGCGGCGGCGGCTCGGCTCCCGCCCTCGGTTTGGTGGAGGGAGGGGACGGAAGGGGAGACCAGAGCGGGCGGGGGGGGGGGGGGCGCGGGACCGAGGCCCGGCGGGGCTGCCCGGAGGTGCCAGTAAGGCCTCGGCAGCGTCGGACGGCACCGAGCAGTCGGGGGCGAGAGAAGCCGCCGGGGCCCCTCCGCCGAAGTTGAAGGAACAAAATGTGAAGTGCGGAGCCGCGTCAGCCGCTTCCTGGCGTGGGGTTTGGGGTGGAGGGCGGCTTGTTTTCCCCTCCCGCGGGACAGGGGAGGGGCGGGAGCGTGGCGGGGACGCCGGGGGTCCCGAAGCTCGGCCCGGCAAAGGCGTTCGTTTCCCGGAGCCACCGTTGCGTATGGGTCGGGTTGGGTCCCTAGTTTTGCGGCCTAAGCCGAGCCCTATAGGCCTCGCGTCTCCTTTCCCGGAGGGGACTGGCCGGGCGGGGACTCGGAGCTTCTCTCCGACCGAGCGGGGGCCGTGAGGGCCTCGCCGGGCTCGGGATGCTGCCAAACTTCGGACCTCGGTGCTTGGGGGTGGATTTCATTGTGAAAGGCGGAATGGGAAACTCCTGGCGCTTGCTCGGCGCTTCCCGCGGCCGCTGGGGCCGGAGAGCCCCGTGGGCCCGGGGCTGGCGGGGCCCGCGGGAGTGGGGGTGGCGGGGCGGCCACCAGGGTCCAGGCCCGGGGAGGGGCGAGCGGCGGGGCCGCTGCCGAGTCCCCGGCCTTCCCGGAGAAAGGGCCCTTTTCAGATAAGAGATTTTTGAAATGAAAAAAGAGGTTACAAAGTCTCCCTTTTCTCGCTGAACTTTTGTTTTCTGACCGATAGAGGCCGGTAGAGGACTGTGAAAGAAAAGTTGTCCCCCAGGATGGACTTCACCGCGCAGCCCAAGCCTGCCACTGCCCTCTGTGGCGTCGTGAGTGCAGACGGGAAGATCGCTTACCCTCCGGGGGTAAAGGAGATCACCGACAAGATCACCACGGATGAAATGATCAAGCGACTGAAGGTAAGCGACTGGACACAGTGTTCACACTTCAGACGTTTGTGGGAGGGGTGCTCTGTCCTGTGACATTACTGCACTGCTAGGCCTGGCCTTTACAGTTTGACCTACCCGGGCTTTTTTAGGTATTTTATCATCTCGTTTTTTTACTCTCTCTGAAAGGTATTGTTCTTTCTTGGCTGTATCTTTGAATAGTTCTGTAGGAATATAATCATTATGGGAAATTAAAGGGAATGTGCTTGTTTTTTCAAACATGAGAATTTAAGTGCTTTTTAAATAACTTTTTTCTAGAAATATTTATGAGAATACTGTTCAGAGTAGCTTACAACCTTAAATGGAGGCAATAGCTTGCCTAGGAGGGTTCCAATTTCCGTTCATTTCTGAGGAGATCGATTTATCACCAAAGCATTTTAGTAAATGGTCACAATTTTCTAATACCCAGAAGCTTAAATATGAATTTAGTATTGTTAAACTTTGACAGAATGTACTGACTTCAAAATTCAGACTTGAAGTAAGGTGATGATTTAGGTCCACATGTTCAAAGGGGTTTTCAGGAGAATATTTTAGCTCTTTTTAAGTTAGCTTATTTAAGCCATGGTGATGATCTTAAGATCGAGGTTGTAAGTTCCAGCCTTATGTTGGTCAGCTTTTTGCTTTTTTCTGTTGCATGGACATAGATTGTGCCCACAGCCTTATGAGATAGTGCTGTTCTTATTAAGGATCAACTGGATGCAGTGGTTCTCAAACAGGGTATTTTCTTTCTTTCCTTTCTTCCCTCTTCCTTCCTTCTTCTTCTTTTCGTTCAGGTAGGCTCCACGGCCAGTGTGGAGCTCAGTGCAGAGCTCAGTGCAGGGCTTGAACTCAGGGCTGTGAGATCAAGACCTAAGCTGAGATCAAGTCCAGGACTAAAGCAACTGAGCCAGCCAGATGTCCCTTAGCCAGGGCATATTTGATCCCCAGGGAACATTTGTCAGAAATTTTTTGGTTGTCACAACTAGGGCTAGAATGGAGCAAGGAGAGGGAAAGACTTGAGGCAGGCGATCCAGATAGGAAACTGGTAAAAAGTGTAGGTGAAAGATGTTGAAATCCTGAAGCTGGGCTATGGTAGTGGGAAGAGAGGTAGGGAAGTATCCAAGAAATGTTTCAGAGTTAGAATCAATCAGACTTGGTGGGTGGTGAGGGAGGAAAAAATGATGACAGTGTTTCTACCTTGGGCAACTTGATGAAATGTATTTTTAGGGAATGATCTTGCCCCTTTGTTCTAGAGCTTATTATATAGTGCCTACTAAATGTTTATGATGTTGTGAATGCTGAATGAATATTTAAAGTATTCCTTTACCTTAGTTCTTAAAATCTAATTAGATTCTGCAATTTGTTGACTCTTTTGAAGGAAAAGGACACAGTACCTTCCATTAAAATAGATTTGATACTAGAGATTATACATGAGGTGAGGCCCTTAATTAATGCTTTTTAAGGTTATATTGAATGGTGTTGCTGAAAAATTATGAAATGCAAAGCTATTAAGTAAACAATTTATATCTTTTAATTTTTATTTTCATATAAAAAATAACGAAATCTTGAATTCTAGTGATGGATAATCCATATGTACTTTTTGTACTTGAGGATAGAGATATAACAGATATAACAGAAATGCTGTTACATAAATGGACATGTAACCAAGTCTAGAATGAGCTTTGGATTAGGATATCATTTGTTATGAGTTCTTCTGGAAGTTAAAATTGACATGCATTTTAACCAGTTTGAATGTCCTGCTAAAATTTTGCTTTTCTTAAGAATGTTATGATTTTGTTTTCCCCTTGTTTTTCTAAGTCTGTTTTGAATTGTGCTTTCTAGGGATCCCTGGTTAAAGTAGTACTGTCTCAGTGGAAGCATAGATTTTTAATAGTGTTTAGCCAGTTTTGATAATTTTTGTGTTTATTAAACCCTTAATTATGGGCAAATTTTATAAAGTAGTTTTTTTTTATTATAGCATATCAACAATGTTCAAATGCTGTATAACTGCAAACTGAGCTTAAAGAAAGGTAAAATCTTAGTGGAATTCAGAGATGTTTGGTCCATTCTCTTCAGTTTTCAAGAATGGGACAAATATTTTTAACAAAACCATAATTTTAGAGTTAGAAGGATCTTAAAAGAAATTCTAGAACTCCCTGTATTTCACAGATAAGAAAATTTAGGGCCAGAGTGGCCAAGTAACATGTATCGAGATCAGTCATAGAGTGGCTTAGTGGCAGAACCAGGGCAGTAGCATCTAATTTATTTTCATTCTTATAGCTGATTTTCTTAAAAGGATCTAAGTATAACTAAGAAGTTTTGATTTTTTTTTTTTTTGCAATTAAAAAAAGAAGGGAATCAATAAGTTAATTTGATCTTTTGCAAGGAGATAATAGGACAGCATTTTTTTTTTTTAACAGAAGCAATTGTAAGTTTTTTCAAGAAAGTTTTGAAGCTTTCTTGAAAATGGTTCTTAGAGTATGTTTTTGGAATAGCTAAGATATACTTTTGGGTATATATTATAGATTTTAATTTCAGTTTTCAAGGAAGTATTTTAAATATTTTTACACTTCCAATCACACTGGCCTTCAGTCAGTTCCTTGAACATGCCATGTTCATTTCTACCTAGACAGATTCCACGTTGCATAACCCATATATGTACTCTTCTCAACTTCCTTTGTCATTCATGTGTTCATCTTTTGTCACTCATCTGTTCTTAAGGGAAGTCTCTTAGATTCCCCATTACGTGTTCTTTTAGCTCCTTCATATAATTTTTTACAGATCTATTACATTCATGCGTATGTTTATTGGTTTGTCTCCCCAACTTTGTGTAAGCTTCATGAATACAGGTACCATGTCTCTTTTTGTTTACTTTTGTACCCTGCCAGCACCACATTTAATGCAAATAATTGGTCAGTGGACAAATGAATACTTTGTATTAATATTGGATTAGAAAGAATAGTAATAGTAGATTAGAGAAATACCTATATTTTGGAAATGAAGGATAATTTGAAAATATTTTGAATTGCATAAGTCTTTACCACCAAATTTGCATACCAGAAAGATACCATGGATATTTAGAATTTTAGATCCAAAAGATAGCTTAGAGGTTATTTGGTTCTGTTCTGATTTTTCAGATGAAGAAATGGAGTCTGTGATATTGTGACCAACCCTAGTTACAGAAAGCTGAAAACTTTCACCAACGGCTTGGTTGCTTAGGGTGGCCTGGCTGGCTCAGTTGGTAGAGCATGCAGCTCTAGATTTCAGTGTAATGAGTTCAGGCCCCATGTTGGGCATGCAGCCTGCTTTTTAAAATAAATAAATAAACAGTTTTTATTACTTAGGTAAGTTACAATTATATATTTATTTTAGAGATATTAAAGGCCATACAAAAGTTACCTGTTAGAAAGGACAGCTGATTGTTTACTATCAGTGGTACATTAAGCATCAAGGTTTATGGTTCACGAACAGCCTTCCTTCTGTATAGTTAAGGATTCTGAAACTAATGTAGCAGTCATGTCTGATAACATTAATAACATTCAAAATACACCTATAAACAGTGTTGTACAAAGTTCCATTAAGTGCTTCTACGCACAGTTTATTATACACAGCCGGTTTCAAATCATGTATTAATACAGAACTACATGCTACTCACATTTTTCTTTTCTTTTCTTTCTTTTTTTTTTTTTTTTTTTTTTGGCTAACATTTTATTCCTTCCTTTCTTGCTATTTTGGAAGTGGAAGATCCTTGATAAGCCTTGATTTTTTAGAGGGAGAGATGGACCAGTTTGAAGATTTAAGTGTTTATTTAAGTAATGTCTGCACTCAACATGGGGCTTGAACTCAGGACCCTGAGATCAGTAGTCACACACTCCAGCTGAGCCAAGCAGGGGCCATGAAGATTGTTCCTTATATTCACTTCTTATTACCTGATCTGAGAGTTCAATACCCCAGACAGTTCTCTGGCTATTAACTTCATACCCAAATCTGCAATATTCATTCAGTCACAGAATTATATCAAAATTCTTACTCCTTTGGTGTTAAGAATTGGGAAAGATTAAATAAATAACAGGGTTTCGTTCTGAATATGTCCACCATTTTTCTCCCACCAGCTGTTATTTCTGTATTTTTCTTTGTATTTTTCCTGTCATCTTTGTCTTTGTGTCAACCATTCCCTCTGCCCCACACTCTCACTTCTTTTATGGCATGGCTTGTTTGATATAGTTAGGAATTAAGATATGGTGGGCTTGATTTCAGGGAAGGCATCTCTCTTTTCTCATCAATTGTAGGTTGTGAGAGGGGAAGAAGAGATTAGGAGCAGGAAGGCCGGCCGTGAATTCTTTCCCGTCTTTTCCTCCAGGTGGATCCCAGAAATAACTGTTTGGATTATAATTATTTTCACTTCCATAAAAGATTTTTATCCCTAAATGCCACATAGGATGCTTATTTTATATATAATTCAGTATTAACTGCCAATCTAAAATCTGTTCATATATTTTATTTTAATATTTGTATTAAATCTTCTTTGCAGAAGATTCTGCTAGGAAATTAAAAAATTAAATAGGCAAGATTTCTTAAAATGAAGCCCTGTAATATAGCCAATATGTATTTGGGGAGTAATGCTAACTAGCACAGTTCTTCTTTTAGACTTGCATTTGTATAGAGGAACTATTCTGCTCATTTGTTGCTGTGTGAAGAACTACCCCAAACCTAGTGGTTTAAAACAGTGAAGTCTTGTTTTGTTTTGTTTTGTTTTTTAATTTTATTGTAAAATATATATAATAGATTTTACCATTTTAATCATTTTTTTTAAAGATTTTTTTTTATTTATTTGACAGACAGATCACAAGTAGGCAGAGAGGCAGGCAGAGAGAGACAGGAGGAGGAGGCAGGCTCCCTGCTGAGCAGAGAGCCGGATGCGGGACTCGATCCCAGGACCCCGAGATCATGACCTGAGCCGAAGGCAGAGGCTC